TTTTTTTCTTTATTTATATGATTTTCTTTGACTCTATTTTCTCATGAGATAAACCAGGGCCACTTCGTTTGTTTAATTTTTGTATTCGGCTCTATAGATCTGTTGGTCACAAATTTGTCGCGGGAGTCACAGCTTTTCAGAGTTTTTTTAAGAATTGCGACGAAGATATTGAGAATTTTCAAAAGAACGGAATTCAACATTTTCTATAGAAATGGATTCAACACGTATTGCAATTTTATACGTATATTTATGTAGATCAAAACAGATCAATAACGAAGTGAAATAGATTATATTTACGTGTGTACAGGTAAGAAAAAAAAAAGAAACATTTATGCATTTCGCAGTAGTGTGCCTGTATGTGTGAGTCCCATGTGGTCAGTTTGAAATTAACTAGTCGGTTTGCCTGTGGTACTAAATTCAGTGTTGTCGCTACTCTATCTCGGCGGAGAAAGAGATGAAAAATGGGTCTTCTTTATATAGTACTGAATATAAAACTATCTCGCCAGCGTCCTAACAGACGCGGAATTTTCTGAATTAATCTTTATACTAGCTGCATAAAGCCAATTGTTGAACGGTGATATTGCCGTGTATTCGGTACGCTATGAAAGTTTCTCCACCTTAATAACCTTCATTCTTTCTATGTGCAGTGTTCTTTCAGGAGGTAGGCGATCATAGTTCTCCACCTCCCTCTATCCCTTGCAGCACTCAACAAGTTTCTTTCTCTCTGACACCTCCCCAGACTACGTTCTATCATCCACTTGCCGCTAGGTATGTCATGCGTTGTTTTCCCTTGTCTCTCTTTCACTCTATTCGACCTGTGAGTATCAGATTCTCCAGGCCGTCTTTCCTTATTATATGTCGCAGGAACTTCAGCTGCCTCTTCCTGATGTTAAGTATAAGCCTACTCTTTATTTGCATCATCTCCAAGACCTCATCGTTGCTCACACGCTCGGTACATGGTATCCTTAGCATCCTTCTGTAAAACCAGACCCGCGTCGCCTAGTCTCTTCTTCATCTTTGAGGAGATCGTCCAATATTCGCTGCAAAGGAGGACAGATGTCAAGTAGCAGTTCAGTACTCTTTTCTTTGCTACTTTTAACTCCTCCTGTCTCATTACTCTCAATATTTTTCGCGAGGTTCCATACCCTCTTTCCTCATTACGTTTCCCATAAATTTCAGCTACCTCTTCCTGATGTTAAGTATATGGTTCATCATTGTTTGCATCATCTCCAAGACCTCATCGTTGCTCACACGCTCGGTCCATGATATCCTTAGCATCCTTCTGTAGAGCGTATCGAATACAATATTGTCCTTTAACAATTGGCCTCATCCAGCTAGTATAAAGATTAATTCAGAAAATTGGTAGAACATCGAAAATTAATTAAAAACTTCAGAAGCCGTCTAAAGTTCCAAATTTTCTAAGGCCACCCATGGCGGTAAAATCGATGAGGTGGGACCAGACTGCACACGACCCACCCGCGTAGACCCCAATGACGGAATAGGCAAAGATCTACCCGAACAAAGTCATAATCGACGGAAGAAGGCAGCAACTGTCGGTCTGATGTAAGCATATACTACGGGTTGATTCAAGCCTTGTTTATGAAAATGGGTAGACGAAACTGTCGATGGTCTTGCTAGCGTGAAGTTACAAATCATTGTGACCGAAGTTTTGAGCCTGTTAGCATTTTTCAAATACTGATTCTACCAAAATATGCGCTATCTGCCTCAAGCCTCAACCTTTTAACTAAGGCCAGCTCAGAATAGCGGCAATATATACCAAATTTTCTCTACGTGGCCCAGGTGGACCACCTGGTGGTACACATAGCATTTCTAGTAGTCCACAGAGAATTCGTAGCCATAAAAAAATTGTCACCATTTCACAAAAATGTATCTAAATTATTCAAACTTTGAAGAATTAAAAACAATATAATATTTTGTTTAATTACACACATGTCCATTATATTTGAAAATTTCGAAATTACGTGGCTATTATGTAGTGCTATATTTATTTTATTTTTATCATACATAATTATTACATATATACATCTATATCTATCTATATATATATACATACATACATATATACATACACACACAAATATTTATTAAAGACATTTTTATGTTTAACGTTCTTTTTATAGATCAAGTGGAGAAATGCTCTGTTTATTAAACAGAAATTTACTGGCCAAATTCGAAATTTTCATAGAAAATATTCGTCCTTTGACAGGATTCGAACCTGCATCCTATATGAAAATTTCTCGGACATTCAGGCTGGTAAATGTTATTTAATACTGTTTGTTATAAAACAGAGCATTTACTTAAATACTTGTATCTATAAAAAAGAACGTTAAACATAAAAAATGTCTTTAATAAATAAATTGTCGGACTTTTGTCCATTTCTTTAATATATGACACACAAATATATATATATATATATATATATATATATATATATATATATATATATATATATATATATATATAGACATAGAATACGGCAGAGAAGGTGCTTTTATTTACTTTTATTTTTACAATTTCTCAGGTGATCTAATATTTTTCTTTTCAGATGATGAATTATATAAAAACTGTCCGAATGGTCTTTTTATCCGAGCGTTTTCGGCTATACATTTAGCCATATTCGAGGATTAAATATTTTAACTGTTAAATAAGAAATACATGTAAAAAAAGGCTAAAAATAATGGAAGCCTTATTAATAAAAACAAAAAACAACAACACTTAATAATATTAAGTATAAACATGGACACTGTGTTTTGAAAAATGAAAACATTTTATAAAACATACATGCAACAAACTATTTCTTATTTAACATTTGAAATATTTAATCCTTGAAAATGGATAAATGTATAGCCGAAAGCGCACGGATAAAAAAAAACATTCGGACAGTTTTTATATAATTTATCATCCGAAAAGAAAAAAAATTGTTAGATCGCATGAGAAATTGTATAAAAAAACTAAATAAAAGCACCTTGTCTGTCGTTTTCAATGAAATGCACATGAAAGAAGGATTTTTTGCCTATATAGACAAATAATATATATATATATATATATATATATATATACACAAATTAATATATATATATATATATATATATATATATATATATTTGGTTGGATAGATGTGAGTTTATGCTTTAGGGTTTCACGCTTTAGTTTGATCGACGTTGTCTGAAAGCGTGAAACCCATCGCTAAAACTCATCTATCCAACCAAATATGTTAGCTCTATCTCTGATATTGAGCGCTTTCTAATAAGTACCATATAATATATAAATAATTACACATACTTATATTTATTTATATTATATACACACACACACACACACACACACACACACACACATATATATATATATATATATATATATATATATATATATATATATATATATCATAATTTTTTATTCAGATAGAAATTGATCTATTAAGGATGGATTATCCACACTGATTTGTAAACCTAAAAAATTGTGTGCCAGGAGATGAAAATGTTGAATTGGCTGAAATGTTGCTGGACTTGAAAGAGAATGCGAAACTGAGAAGAAAGGTTGACAAAGAAGGTGTATTTGCCTACATATCGATAAAGGACTCACACCCAAATATTTTTCAACATATAAAAGCAAGAATCATTTCTTTCTCTACCACATGGATGGTGGAATCTGGATTTTTGGCTGTTGTGGATGTTTTCAGTAGAAAAAGAAATAAATTAGATGACAACAACAGAGAAACTATCAGACTAAGACTGAATGACATCATCACAATTGATTATGATATCTTGTGTGAAAAACACCGCAATCAAGGTAGTCACTAGTTGAATCGATTAGGACTGAATGACATCATCAAAATTGATTTTGATATCTTGTATCAGAAACACCGCAATCAAGGTAGTCACTAACTGAATGGACTAAGACTGAATGACATCATCAAAATTGATTTTGATATCCTGTGTTTATCTTTCTTTAATAAAAGAAATTTAAAGTGTAAATAGACTATTTTGTCTTTTCATTCAGTATTTTAGTGTGAAAATTGAACAGCTTAAAAGTAAAAGTAGGAGTGGTCTATTTGAATTCTTTGAAGAAAAAATGGCTGAAAAAGTTGAAAATCACTGATATATATACTACAGGTTATTTCTGTGGTTGTTGAAATAAAATAAATGTGCCTAAGCAGAAGTCCGTATACAAAGTGTTTATATACAACTGACAGGATATTTTTGATTGACTGATTCAATTTCGACGGCTTATAAACACTTTACAGGTTATAAATAACGTGCAAAGGTTTGATAATTTAGAAAATATATTTCTAAAGGGTGGAATAGATAATGACGATTTCGTGATAAATGTCTTAATAATTAACCCATAGCTGGGGGAGAAGAGGTGGATTCATTCCTTTCCCTGGTGTATTTCCGCGTAAGTGAATATAACGAACCCAACTGGAATTGAAACCTGGCTCTCTGATTAACAATTCTGAGCCATTATCTATTTCGCCATCTGCTCATCCAACCCTACAACACCTGGTTTTCTTAAGGGGTCACCAATCTAGGTACTGAGCAGACGTTGCTTAACTTCGGTGATCGTACAGGAACCGATGTTTCAACACTATATGGCCGTTCTTTCTGAATGGGTTTGGCTCTATGGATGATATCAATATGAAAGTCTCGACCTGATGTATCTATTTACGGACGTCATTCAAGTTCTGTGTTTAATGTTTTGGATTTGTAACGACTTGCTTGTTAGCTTTTATCATCGCCCGGTTGAGTATCTCTCTTCGGGTAGAGTGCGATTCAGTTGCGGCTTTGTCAGAGGACAGACCCGCAACTGGGGAAAATAAAACTGTGAGGTGACCAACCCTGGGGAATAGCTGCCTACGGCTGCACCCTCTCATAGCACTAGAGAGAAGGATTCGTGCTCGAAACGAGGCCAGCGCAACCGACAATTACGGGGGTCCGAGGAAAATTTACCTCCTTGGACTGAGTGTACGCACTCAGGTTCCACACATTAAACTCGACTTTGTGACACATCCTGCCCGAGTGTAGCTGGATAAATCTACATCTAGCGGAGCCTTGTTGACAATCAGGTTCCTTAACATTTATGTTAAATTTGTTGTGCTAGACCCATTGACCGAAGTATTTGGATTGTTATGTACTTACTAATTTCATAGTCTGGATTTTTATGTCGGATTCATGATGTGTACCTTACTGTTTTCCTTCTCAGATCGAGGAGGAAAAAAACCCCACTAAATTCACTCGTCAAGTGACCTAAATTTAGAAATACATGGTATATATTAATAAATAGCTAATTTGATTTATGCAGTATGTGTATAACTAAACTCCTTTCATTTAAGAAATTAAAATAAATAAATGTGATAAAAACTATTAGGAGGATTTGAGACAATTATAATCAAGAAATTCATTGAGTATAGAAGAAACCTCAAGAGAATACAGAAAGCACTGTACGGCCGTTTCGTTCCACATTTGGGACTCATCAGCAGCGCGCATCCACTACACCGAATCGAAACCCAGACAGTTACGTTATCAGACAAACATCATACCAACTGTAGAAACTGGCCTCGGTGACGAAGAGGGTAGCGAATTAGACTCGATATAGCGTTGCTCGATCACATATTCCGTGTTGGAACTTAACTGAGTTTCTCCATACCCATAGGACTGTGCCCCCATGAGCCTCGACTACTATCACCAAGCCGCAAATATAATCACAAATATAGGACAAAACGGCCGTCCAGTGCTTTTTGCATTCTGTTGAGGTTTCTTCTAGACTCGATTAATTACGTAATTATAATTATCTCAAATCCTCCTAATAATTTCTATCACTTTGTTGTAGAGTAGTTTTCACAGTGGAGGCTTGTATTTCAATAAGTCGTCCTAAATTAGCTTCGACGTACAAAACGTTAGGAACTTGGAAAATACGAGTTCATGACGCAGCAATCTAGTTGTGATGGTTGATACTTCAATGTCCGATATCAACTGACTCGCTCAACACCACTGAGTATTTATCGTTCCACCCACGAGGACCGAATATGGCACAAGGCCGGGTTTAATGTGGGTATCCCCGAGCCCGTAGGCTCGGCCAAAAATATAGCCTTTGAACCCGCCTAGACGGGTTCAGACCCTGTCTACCTCCCCGGACGAAACCCCGCCCTCCGGCAAAGCCTCGTCCGGGTTCCTCTCTGCTAACGCAGAGAGTTCGACAGAAGGCGCGCGCAGTCAAAGACCGCGAGACGCCACTAAGCCGATCTGGCCACTGCTACTACTACTTATTGTCTGTGGGAGAGTCCATTGCAATAGAATAGGTATTATGGCATAACACACTTGTATATATTTGCTTGAACCGGCTTCTAATGCTCTGGATGGAGCGGCTTAGTGATAAATACACATAGATACACTTCCGTTTCGACTATGCCCCAGGAATTCAAGAAATTCAGGTTCGGAAAACGAGGAGTCCATATGTTTGGGTGACATGATCGTGAAGATCTTGCGTTGTCTTAGCTTTATGAGACGTTGTAGAGTCTTATTGGTAGGTGTACGGTTTTCCCTTGCCCACGCTATCTATCCAAGACCTCACAACCATCTACACCACTCTTTATAGTTAGCAGCATTGATCTTTAAGCCCCGAGGAAAGTAGTTAGGAGCCATGATAACTTCCTCATTGCTCACAACTCCCAGAATCATCATAGTTGCAGGAACATTTGTATGCATGACTGTTGGAACGTACTTGGGGTCTTTGCATAATGACCTGTTATTCTGACGGTTGGCCTTTTGATCCTGATCAAAATTTTTCACGTCAGAAGAAAAAAGAAAACCAAAACAAAGTTTTCCAAGCTTATGTTTTTTTTTTTTAACTTGCTCAACAAGTTCTTTGCTTGGATAAAGACGGTTATTTTTTGCCTTTGAAAGCATGAATTAGCCTCTCCCCACATCACACATCCGTAGTTGCTCATGCGCACATCTTCCGTCAGTAAGCCTTTAAAACTTGAGCTCCCATCTAAAGGCGTTAATTGATTTTCTTGTGTTCTTATCGATACTTATCTGCATCTTTCATACCTGTTTGGGTGTACCGATTGCATTAAGACTCTTAATAGGCGAATTACCTTTGTCTACTGCAGTAGAATCTCCGTAATCGGCTTCCAGCTCTTTGTGAACTTTGACAGCAAACGGCCGTAAAACTGCCAGGAAGCAAACAATTTCTAAATCATTTCTACTCTGACAGTAAAGCAAAGTTTAAGCATGCATTTTCCTTTGCTAAATGAACTTCATGTTTGTCATAATTTGACTGAAAAGAAATGATAATCTGAAAAAGTTACAAAAAAAGGGCTATTAAAAGACGATTACTCAAAGACCTAAGCAACCCTGTAGATTACAGACGTGAATTACTTACGCTCTAATCTTAAAATATAGGTTTTCAGTTGAGTCCAGTTTCAGTAATCAGTGTAGAGAAGGTTAATCAGTCTTTCTACACAACAGCAGACGACCATATATTATCTTCGTGTAATTGATGTTTAAAACTTTCTTCCTGATTTCATTGACTACCTTGTCTAGGAGGTTCTGTAGTTTTCTTTCAGTGTCTGTTGTCGGGTTACCACCTTGTAATTTTCGAAACCGCTACTCGGGGACGCTTTCCGTTCTATAAATACTCAGCAATATCTTTTCTCGCTCTCTATTTTTCTCATTTTTCCGCATAGACGCCAACATGTGAGTTTTTCGCGGAAGAACGAGTTCCCTTTTTGGACACTCATGAACAATACGAGCACAAACACACACACATACATACGCACCTTTCATTTCATTTTTTCTATGACTTTCTCCTACACCAATCTACACATTCTCAAACAATTCACTAGTTTAAATATCTTCTTCATTCATATTCATTGTTCAGTAAACACAACAATATTCTAATGTATATGTAACCCTTTATTGTTAATTCATTACCATTAGTTTGTAGACACATAGATATTGGTCCTTGTCGTTTTTTAACATAATTTTTTAGGTGGACTCATATTCTGAAGCTGCCATGTTTGTTGTGGGCATTTCAGGAGACACAAGTGTTTATCTCTCAACGCGTATATAGCGATCATCATCACATACATGCATACATACTTGCACAAATCCAAATTATACAACAACAAGCATTCATTGGATAATAAATCAACACTACTTTGTAATAGACAATTTACAAATCGCAGCTATGCGACAATTTTATAATCGCTACATTTTCATGTAGTTGATTTTGTGCACTTTTATGAGAATCGGATCCCGAGAGCCTTCTCAGCTTAGTAAATATTTTCAGGAAATATCAGCTTCTAATTGGTCAATAAACACACAAGTGGGCGTTGCAATCCACCTACACACAGTATATTTTTCCAGCGCGTGACTAGGTCAACTTTCCCGCCAAGGCGCTGTGAGTCTGTTACGTGATTACATTAGCTATAAATAACAGACACGAGTTCGCTCATTCTCTTTTCTCTCTCTTCTTGCTGCAAAATGTATGTGCTTTGTAATTAGTTGTTTATATATATATATATATATATATATATATATATATATATATATATATATGTGTGTGTGTGTGTGTGTGTGTGTGTGTGTGTATGTATCGGTCTTGTTTGTTTGTCTTCTTTGTCTTCAGTTGAACTTAATCCAAGTCCGACATTTTCATGTCGCTGGACCTTCTTCTAGCAGGAAATATAAACGCACGTGTTTTCTTTTCATCTTCACCCCCTGGTCCTCTACACGTATACCGGTCCGCAATGTCTACCATCAACACAGTGTCATCTGCGGAACTTAAGTTTTTAAGATTGTGCCCAATGATAATAAATCCTGACAGAAGTTCTACACCTGTTAGGATCGCATTACTGTGAATGTTAAAAAAATTCGGTCTATTCAACGAAGAAAGGAAAATTATTTTTTCATACTTTGTCTATTTATATTTGCTCAACTGAATTTTAACAGCTATATCAAGTATTTAACTTGACGTTATCGTATATCTATTTATATGTTTAAAAAAAAACAATAGAAAAACTAGTTTTAACCGACGCGTTTTGTCCAATGTTGACTTTTTCAAGGTAAAAAAAAACGAAAAACGAAATGAAGTTATTGAAGCAAAGTATCTATAAACAACAAACAAAATGTCGTTAGCAACTGGAAGAATTTAGAAACGCTATTGTATATTCATATAGTCAATTTCTAGTTGCTAACGAAATTTTGTTTATGGTTTATAGATACTTTGTTTCAATAAATTTATTTTGCTTTTTTACCTTGAAAAAGTCCACATTGGACGAAACGCGTCGGTTAAAACTTGCTTTCTGATTGTCTTTTTTTCCTTTATACATATTGTCTTTTTACTTTCATGGTAATTCCTCCGATAAGCTACTTTCGCTGGTTCCCAGACTTCGCGAATTCAAGCGTCCTACGAGGCTCTCACCCTTTCACTGTCGAAACTGTTAAATGTAACCATCTCTTCTACTCCAAGAGCTTCATATCTCGCATCTCTCGCCTGTGTAACTCCCTTCCCTATTCCTGTTTCCCTGATAGCTATAATCTCCAACTATTCAAATGTAATGTCAATCGACATCTCCAGTTGCCTTGATCTATTCCTTATCATTTTCCTCATCCTTTCCTCTATAACTCCTATCTGCTCTCGCTCCAAATCCTCTATAACCCCTTGCGTGCTAGTGGCTTCCCGCCTTGCTTTGGATGAAATGTTTTAAAAACAATCTGAGAAATGTTTACATCTATTTATATGTACATGTCTACATAAATATCTAAGCAACATAGCTGTAGATATTCAGTATATTTTTTTAATTTAAGGAATTACTGATTTTTCGCATTGTCTATATGTATGTATGTATGTACAGTATGCGATGGATAAATTGTCGTCTAAATTACAAAACAATTAAAGTAACACTGGCATCTCATTTTAACTGCCATATTTACCAAAATTACACAAAAATATCTTGAAATACAAAAAAAAGTTC